AGATGATATCTCATAGTTGTTTTGATTTGCATCTCTCTTAGAGCTAGGGATTTTGAACATTTCTTCATGTGCTTGTTAGCCATCTGAATATCTTCTTTGGTGAAGTTGTCTGTTCATATCCTGTGACCATTTTTAAATTGGATTATTTACCTTTATCTTGTTGTGGTGAGAAATAAAGTTTTGACTTGCATATATGTAAATATGGTTTTAGTCAAATGTAAGAGCCAGAGGCAAAAAGTAAATAAGTCAATCACATTGAGAATGAGTATAACATATGTTTAAAAATATAAAGATACTGAGAGAATATGAAGAATTAGAAATATAATTTTAGACAGATTTATTAATTTTGGTTTATTAAAATAAAATGGTGTGCTTTTGATGCACATCTGGCTTAATATTTCCTATAACTTTCTCTTTAGCAAAAGAAGTTTATGATATGCAAATATGCTACAAGTATAAACACAATTTCATGGAAGACTCAACTTTCTTCTGTCCAAGGAATATTGAGATGTTTTGTCACTTTACCAATGCTGCCAATAATTCAGTCCGGAGTCCTGCTATGAAGCTCAATCTGATTCCAGGTAAGAATATTTTTAAATGGCTTGAAAATTTTATCGTCAGAATCAGAAATCCATTCATTTACACTTTTACCATTGGTTCTGTAATTCATATGCTGAGTCTCCTCAATGGAGCAGGACTTGGGCTAACCATGGAATGTTTAAAAGTAGACTCCAGATGCTCTGCCGGAGAAGGAGGGGCAATCTGCTCCTGTGCCAGTCAGATCTGATTCAATGGTACAAGGGAAGAGAGAGACAGAGACAGAGAGATAGAAAGAATCAGAGAAAGAAAGAGGATTAACCATGTCCTCTTGTATCAATTCCAGTGGAGAGATACACATAATTAAAAAAAATTATCATCACGTGTAATGTATATGTACTAAACTTGTTGCACCAAAGGAAGAGTATATACAATACCATTGTGTTCCTGAGAAGGGCTGCATGAAATGCATGTACCTAAGACCCAGACAGCAGTCTTTACCATCCTTTGTTATCACTGAACCAAAAGAGTCCTTATAAAATGATTGTGGAGTAATTTCTGTAATAAGTCATACTAAAAAGATCTCTTCAGTAGCAATCAAAGGGCAAGGAAGCAAATGGTGATCCTCACCTTCTACCACTAGCATTCCCTCTCAAATTATTATTAGAATTATTTCCAGTGTTATTGGTGGTGGTATGTTGTTTTAATTCATCTAATTGACTATAACTCCCAACAACAACATGCTATGTATGACGTCAGATGGGTCTTATGACTCTAGCACACAGCTCGTTTAAATGTTTTGTATCATATGTGATCACTCTCAGTGACTGGCTGGTCCAACGATAGGTTGGACCCTAGTCATCAAAGCAGGAATCAGTTTAGAGTTTGCCATGCTTCCCTCCACCTTAAAGAGCTCTGGTGGCATAGCCTGGAAGGAACTATCTGTCTGTAACCAACACTTTCAGGTGTTTAGAATCCACCAGTGGTGCCTTTGTCCTGCAGTTCACATTACCACTTCAGAAACCCAGTGGAGGGTCAACTGGGAGTCAGTTCCAACTCAATGTTAATGAGGGAGTTTAGTAAACCAGGTGTGTCAGCATTTTTTTAGTCACTCATCTTAGTTCTCCTTTTTCTTTATACAAAGTCTAATTCCTTTTATCAGAAAAGAGTGCTTATTCACTTTAAGATTTGTACACCAGGACTGAGGGAACTGGTGATCTCTACAAAATTGTGTTGCAGAGGCTTACCTCTCTGGTAGTTTGAATCCATCAGAGGCTTTGCAGGAAATATAAGGGCAATCTCC